TTAAGGATGTATATATCGCTTCATTAATTGTTTTTATACTAGCCTATCAGAATAGTGATGTCAGCAGTTATATATCTGTTTTAATTCAGGTCTTTAAAAATGCCTCACTGAGAAAAAAACAAATCACATCCTCGTGCAACCGAGGCTGTTCTGAGAGGGGAACTGTGTTGCAGATCTATAATTCATCATTCTTCAGAGTTAATGCAGTATTCACATGATAATTAGTATTCATTTTTGATTGGTGCCTCAGGGCAGTTCTGCATTGTTGCGCTGAAGAACCTGTGCCATTATTACTTTATTAGTGTAACTGTCAGGCGCCTGTTTTACTTTACATCTGCACATCTTGTATTCTATTATCGGCCGCTCTCAGCCGTGTTGCTTATTAGTGGCTTTAACAAGAGGCCATGTCACTTAAATGAAAAAAGAGGCTTCTGTATGTGGACCAGTCAAAACAATGCTGTCACTCTGTGTGTGACGCCTGCGCACACACACACTGAAGCCAGGGTCGGCAAAGAATTTATTATTACTGTGAAATCAAACAGAGAAAGAACTGAAAAAAATTAAAAGGATTCATAATCTAGTTGTTGATTAATCATGTTTTACTCTGAACACATTTCGGTTTGTGCCGTGTTGTGGAATAACTAGTTATTGTAATTAAACTAGCTACAAAATAAATGTAATCAATTATAGTTACTGAGGAAAAATATGCAATTAAATTACAGTTGCTAATCAGAAGATTAGTAACTGTAATTTAATAAAAGTAACAAATACATAGACCAGTTTTTTCACTGGTTGATGAAAACGAGCAGGCTGACCTATGACCTATGTTACTTCTAGGTCTGAAGCTGTAATGAGGATTTTTCCACTATATTCTATGATTTAATAGACCAAACAAGTAATAAATTAATCAGCAGACTTGCAGCTTCACACGCAGTGTTTTGTCTTCAGGGCTATGGATGATGTAACCTGGGTAATTTAACATAATTCGCTTTAGTCTTCGGCCACTGGCTCTGTGGTGCCGTGAGTAGTGAGGCGCTGATTAACTCAGTTGTGTCACAGTCTGCCTGTTTTGTTAGAGCACTTGTGTTCTCACACCTGAGGGAAGGAAGAGGTTTCAGCATCACTTTTACTAACAGGACAGCAGGTGCACGGCTCCCTGACCCGCTCCCTCCACCAGCTGCGTGTGCGTACATGTGGAGCTGAAACGGCAGACAGCCAGAGCTCAGGGAAAACTGACCAGGCCTGCCAAATTGACTGGTGACTCTGGTTAAGCAAAAGCTGCCTGCTGCTGCCTCCATCGACTACTTTCCAGTGGAAACTTTGAAAAGCGTTTGTGTGCAGCTGAGTAGAGAAGGCTAAGTGGTGTGCTGTTCTATTTTTTTCTCTCAAGTGAAAAAAAGGCGCTCTAGATTGACAGCGCCTTTCATACTGTATTATCCGGTCTGGCTTTTAACTCCAGGAGAACTGTGTTCACAAATTGATGCTGTGCTCCTTTGGGGCTGTAGCTGAAACATTAAATTGTACTGAAATATTCATATGTGAGTGCATTTAGCTGAGAGCAATTGATGTGTGACTCCCCAGAAGCCAGATGGAAATGTTGCAGGCCCCCAGCACGCGCTTGCAGACACCCATAGCTTCGGTTGGGACAGCGATAGTGATTTAGCCAAGGCTGCGAGTCAGACTAAGTTGAAGGCTGCCAGATTCAGGACAGCTGATGTCAGTGTGTGAGACTGCTGGATAAATGCAAACCAGGTTATGGCTACTAGGATTTTAGGGCAGATTATAAAACCCCTCGACTCAGTTTGACAAAATCACTTGTGAAACATTTCAACTACTGTAGGATGATGCTTTTACATTACACTCTCTCACATTTTATTGTTATTAGGGACTAAAATAGTCACTTTACTTATTGTTTCTAATTTGTTTTTTTGTTTTTTTGTTTTACTTAAATGCAGGACCTCTACATTTCATTCAGCATCTAGCTCGAAAGTAAACTAGCAAGATGAGTGAGCTAAAACAGAACAGACAGTAAACTGTATTTTTATAGTTGTAGGTTTCTTTCTACATATTCATACAGTGTGTTGCATTTCATAGGAACAACCTCAAATGATTTAATTCAAAAAGTTTGTGCCTGAAATAATAAACCACCAGATCAGTCTGAGAAAAGCAGGAATAAAGATTAGTGTAAGTCATTCTTTCTCACAGACTCGGTTACATCTTAAAACTAAGTTACTGTAAATATTGATCAGGATGTTTGTGTTTGTTCCAGAAGCAAGAGGCTGAATATGAATAAGCAAGTGGCTTCAGTAGGAATGTTGAATGTGTGGCAGACGTCTCCCCGGAGAGCTGTGCTTTTCACTCTGTTTGCTAATTTACCCGTCATGTGTCAAGTCATGCATAACAACATGTTGGATTTCTGAATTAATTTGCAAGTTCTGTGGATTATTATATTTCAGTTCTTTGAAGCACAAACTGGTGTAGTGTCCCATCTCCCTGAGGACAAAGTCCGCTGTGTCCTCATGTTTATCACGTGACTCACTAGTGTACGTGTTCATCTGATGGCTTGTACGTGTGCAGGAGCAGCAACAGAGCTGATGGTTTTTCTTTTGGGGAAAAAATGTAGAAAAAGCCAGAACTTTGGTCAAATCAGTTATTGTTCATAGTTTGTTTTCCTAGTTGGCAAATTAAATATTTGCCAATTAAAAGGACTGAAGTGGTTGAGCTTGGTTTCTTCACTGGGTCTCCTTTTTTTTTCTTTTCGTTCTTTTCTTTTCTTTCTGATGTTGACCCTCTTTTACCCAAAGAAGCACAACAAGCATATGAGGGGACGCTAAAGAAAACAAAACCCTATGTAAATGTAAAAACCTTCCTCTGTTGCCATGACAACAGCCTCGAGTGGGTTTCTTCCACCAAGCCACCCTCTGGATTTTGTGCACTTAAGAAGTATGTTTCAAAAAGAGAACCTGAGAAGCTTTTTAAAAAATGATGTATAATTTATTTGTATTTTTCTCTTGGAGGAGTGTCCTGTGTGAGACATGTTCCGAATCTGTCAGACCGCAGCAGTAATGAGGCTGTAAATGCAGACTAGTGAGGAGAGGAGTCTCCGTGTTCAGAGTGATGACGTTTAATGTCCCCGAGAACCTCTAGTCTCATTTAGCCACTTGTTAGCAGCCGCCATTTTAAGGCACGTAAAAGTAAAAATACATCACAAGTGGTATTTACTGATATATTTTATGTTGTTGAACAAAATGTAAAAATGTATCATGTTAACCCCAGACCAAAAATCCATAAAAAAAAAACAAAAACACTGACTTAAGGGCAAGGAAACCAGAAGTGCACAACTGCTGACGCGGTTCCAGGTTTTAGGATTCACTACTATGTCACTCTATAGTAAAGGAGGAAGGAAGGAAGGAAGGAAGGAAGTCATTACTGCCTACAGCTACAGTCAGTAGATGTCGATCTAAACTCAGAGGCCATCGGCTCTCTCTCTCTTAATGAGAATCAAAACAATGATCATGTAATGTTAATGCAGCTAAAGTGACTCCCTCTGTGCCATTATTAAAGAATTTCAATTATTAAGTATCTAATGGTCAGGAATAATTCACTTTGTGAGTAGCAGTAGCAGGGACTGAACCTCTCAGCAGGTCTCCTCACTGTTCCTGCCTGTCCAAACTCCACCCCTGACTCAGCCTGATCTGGTATCATATGCACTGAGAAACTGGGCTATTCAGGCATGTTTTATGTTTCGCCCTCAGGTGTAAAGGAAGAGCACTTGGAATCGCAGTTATTAGCAGTACTCGGGTCTTTTACTGAAGTGGGTGTAGCAATACTACAGCGTAGAAATACTCTGCTACAAGTAAAAGTTCTTTATTCACAGTTTCACTGTGTAAAACTGCAGAAGTGGTAGCTCTGAAAAATAAAAGCACTCATTATGCAGAATGGCACATTTCACATTGATATATATTTTGTTATTGGATTATAATTATTTGCATCATTGTGTTCATTGCTTTAATGATGCATCTGGTAAAGATGGAGCTAATGTTAACTTAAGTGCTGTCATGATGTTCGTATGTTTTGAATCTAATCACTTTACTGATGAGCAGCTTGTGAGTTTCCCACTGGGGATCAATGGTCTCATCTTAAAATGTGCTGTTTTTTTATGTGTAGTCGAAGTATACTCAAGTAAAATACCTCAAAATTTAGTTACTTTCCACCAGTGGTTATTAGCAGAGCGCACTTCCTCCTGATGCCTTGTCACGCTGGGCATCATTGCTTCAGACAGAGCTGCAGTTGAACCCTGATCTCCATGGAAGAGATTCAGATTAGAGGCGTAGCAACTGTGACAGACGGGGTTTGGCACCATGTGCAGCAGGGTTTCTCTGCATGCGAGAGCCAAGCAGATGATTGTTTATTTATTCATTCCATCACAACAGGCACTAAGGCTTTCACAGACTGTAATGAATCTAGTAAACGCTAGTAGATCCAGGTTTTCAGTGTACATGTTGGTTCCTTTCAAATCACCCACAATGCAGCTGGCTTTTGAGTTTAAGAAATTACTCCAAATAGCTTTCAGCCTTGTTGATGCAAATGAGCAATCAGCTAACCCACCTGGAAGGCTGTATGTTAGCTGGTGGTTGCCCAGCACCTCTCTGTTTTCCTGGTGATAGTTTTCAAGGAACTTGGGACGATTGAAACTTGATTCAGTGGAACTACTTTTTAAAAGTTATTTTCATTTATTCTGTTTTTAGGTTGTTCAGAGATGACAAGTCTTAAAGATGTGATCATCGGTCTACCTCGAAATGAACTTATTTAAATATTAAACAATAGTGTCTGGTTTAGGGACAGGTAATTCTCCTGAATAACTTGAACTTTGTCATCTAAATATGACATCTGTGATTCATAATTTTCAATAATGCTATAGATTGCAACAAAATATTTGAATTGGCTTTAACATGTTTTCTTATTTCTTGGAATAGTCCAGTGGGAAAGTGAGGCACTGGGCCTGTACTGACCTGACCAATTAGCAGCTGTTGTGACAGGTCTTCTGATGTTAATGACTTTTTAAAAATTTAGATTTTTGAAACTCGTATGCAAAAAAAGGAGATGATGCTAATGAAATAATGGTGTACAGGAATGAACCTGAGAAAACAAACATTTGGCTTTAAGTCGCTTAAAATGACATTCACAGAAGGCAGTAAACCAGGAGCAGGTAAGGAAATACTAACTTTTATTTTTTCTTTTTTCAGTCAAATGACAATACCTGCATTTGGCAATAACATCCTCCATATCAAGTTTACAAAAGTGTCAGTAAACATTAAAGTGCAAAGAATTTGCTTGCCAGTTATGGCACGTATCTTTTAAAGGTTCATGCTACAAGCACTCCAGTCTAGGTTCATTTGAAGAATCCAGTCACTTACCTTTTTATTTCTCCACACAAATAAGCCCCAGTCAAAAAAAAAACTGCTATTCAGTCAGTGTTGACTGCCTGTGGTTTCAAATGATACAAATGGGGAAAGAAAACCAAACGTTAAAGAAAAATTGGCTGTTTGAATAGTTAAGCCGGTCTGTGTACCCTGTCTGTTTCAACAAGGAACAGCATGTTTTAAGTTAATAGAAACAAAATAACCAGAAAAATGCAAATAAAAACAATCCACTTACTGTAACTGCAAAGAACAGTGTCTTGGTTTGCAATACTATTAAAGTTTTTGTTCGATATAGGCTTGAACGGCCCCTTGCTGGTTTTAATTCATGTAAAGTTCAGTGCATTTAGGACCTATTCAAAGTGAGAATTCCTGATGCAGAATGTGTCCAAGAACACATTAGGCTCCCCGGTACTGGGATGTTATTGTCTGTCTTGTGCTGTATCAGGGTACGTCTGATTTCAAAGGTCCATCACACAGGAAGAGGGGAGGTTGGACAGTATGGCAAAAGGCTTAAGAGTTCTTATTATCATTTCTACTACTGACTTGTGAACATATTAAGGAGCATCAGTGTTAGCTGGAAGCAGAGGCTCAGGCTAGCTCTGGATTGGCTAAAGACTGGATTTACACAGCAACAGAGAAATCCCATTTTTAAATCTTATGCAGTCCCTCTCAGGAGATTTGACCTGCCACGAGAGTTCGGATATATACCAAACACAGTGGCAATAGAGAGAGAGAGAGAGAAAAACAACCTCTGTTCCTGTGTAAATGTAGCTTATGTATCAGGCATGTGCCCTAGAGGTGTGTCAGTTGGTCACAGGAGCCGGTACTTCTCCTCCTGGGATGGCTCGGTGCTGCCATGCAGGTGAATTAGTGGCTTGGTCTGCAACAGCACACAACCCCTTCCCTGTCCTCGCTTCTCCTCTTGGTTCCTGCGATTGAAGATGTTTATTCTGTTGTCCAGCTCAGGACTGTCCTTTTCTGAGCCTGTAGGGCTGGGAAGCTTAAGGTTGACAGGGTCCACTGCCAGGCCCTTCTGAGCGAGACAGGAGTCCTCAGAGAGGGAGGAGAGTAGCTCCTGCACCACCATGCTGGGGTCCCTGCAGGGCTCCTGGCCTGAGAAGGAAGGAGGGCTGCAGCCATGAGAGCCATAGCTCAGACTGAGGTCCTGAACTGTGCTGTTGCTACGCTCTGTCATAGATGAAGCTGAGGTGTGGGTGCCCAGGCTGTGGGGCCGTGCTGTCAGGCTGCCGCTGCACCGTGATATACTGGTAGAGGCGTCACTTAGAGCGCTGCCCACCCGCTCCATAGCGAGCAGTGGGTTGGACTGGACGAGATTTGTATTGGTGGGGAGGTGAACATCAATGGCTGCTGTGGTGATGACCCGGGTCCCTAAGCCAGAGGCCCCAGCATCTTGAAAGACATTGTATACGTTTAGGAAAAAGTAAGACAACATATATAAAACACAAAAGCCCTCTATCTTATGTTGAACACATGCAGTCATCGGCAAACCTTAGTAACCTGTCAGTGAGTTCTGCTGCTGTTTTGGTCATGTCTAAGAGATTTGCTCAGCAGATTTGGCTGGATGTAAGAGTATATTTTGACTGTGTTAGCAATATACAAAGGCCATCATAAATAGAGTCAAAATTGATGTTACTTTTATCTTCATGTACAGTGAAGCGGTGTATAGTAATGTCTGTGTTCATAGTCTTACCACTGCTTGCTTCACTGTAGTACTGACTGATGTAGTTGTTCATGTCGTCATGCACAACTGGATCTGAGTGGAAAAGTTAATGCATGGACAAAAATTGAGATTATGTTATTAGTGTTAGTCAATGTGACTGTGTGGCAGTGAATTTCACACCTTTTTGTCTGTAGGTACTTTGGGCCACTTCTGTGTTAACAGTGCAAACTAGTACAATTGGAAAATATGCCTTATGTTTACAACATAATATTGACTGAGATTACTTGTGGCCCAGGCCACAGGTGCTTTACAGGCAAGTGGCTGGCATCACGCGCTGCTCTGCGGTGCATTAGCTGCACCCTAGTGCACCACAAACAAACTGGGACAAGGTGGGGTTGGTTTCAGGGATGAGAGAGAGTGGGAGCTCTTTGTTCAGGCTCTGATCCCTCCAGTCTAGTAGGCCTCTGTGTGTGTGTGTGTGTGTGTGTGTGTGTGTGTGTGTGTGTGTGGTGAATGGCTGTGATCTGCTCTGCTCGCTTGATTGGCCTTGAGCTCGCTATCCCCTGGCTGAGTACCCTGAGTGCAAACCCCTGTCCCCTGGGACATGCCGCAGACTCTGATGGGTAATTTCATTTATTTTTCAGTCTAAAATATTAATCCCTGAGCCACCCCTGGAGAGGAAGCATTGCACTCACTAAAACAAGCCGAGACAATCGCTCCACAATTAATAACACATGAGTCTTAAGGAAAAAGCATGGGCTGTCCAGCATGCATAAAAAGTTCCCCCTCTTCTGTCAGCGACAGTCTAGTCACTGTGCTGTCATGTCTGTGGGAAAGGAGAGGCGACATGCTGAGCTCCATTTAGTTCAGATCTAAACCATAAATTTGCTGAGTGAGGTATCACTTTAACACAGACCTCAGGAAGACTAGCAACCCAATGCTAATACAAATAAACTAAGTGAACTAGGTAGTTAGTATTTTAGATAAAGAAAAACAAGAAAGACTTTGATTCCACAATTTAATAGTTGGAAAACTGCTGTATATATTCTGTTCTGCAGAGGGATGGCGCTGTTGGTCTGTACACAACTGAAGTATCTGAACAGTTAAGTGGATTGGCCCCAAATCTTGTACAGACATTTGTGGTCCTCAGAGGATGAATCCTAATGACTTGGGTGTTCACCTGACTTTTCATCTAGTGCCATCATCAGATCAGAATTTGAGTCAGTTCTTACAAATCTTTGTTTTGTGCTAATTAGCAACTTTTAGCTTGCTAGTATGGTAAAGTAAGACGGTGAACATGATTTTAATTACATCTGCTTAACATGCTTATCATTCCTGACGTTAGCATGTAGGCCTGAGCACCGCTGTTGTCAAGGCTCACAGACCCGTTTAGCATAGCTGTAGACTCAGTCACAGATATTAGAACATGTATGGATATTTTTTACAGTTTCATAAATGCTGTAATTTGAAAAGTTCCTTCCAGCTAAACATGGCTTTTTTGTTGTTGCAGTAAATCTATTGTTACTATACTGCTGCAGCACTAAGTAGTGTCACTACAACAAGCATATGAGAGAAAACCCAACTGGTTGATTAACACTAATTGTCACTGAGTGTTCTTTAAATGTACATGGTTTGATTTCATTTTGAAAAGCATTCTTGATAATTTGTCAGCGCCCTACAGGTGCATCGAAACACTGGGTGCACTGTTGGCCAGCACAGATGATTTGAGCTGACCGGACTTCACTTGAGCCTCAGTGCTCGTCCCACTGACCAGGTTCCTGTAAAAAGCTCCACTTGCTTCTGAGACCCAGATTTCCCACTATGCCCCTGGGGTAATTTGGGGGCTGCTGTGGAGCATCCTGTTGCCCTGTTGTGGTTTGCAGGTGAAGGGGAAAGATGTTGACAGGAGCCCACTTTTCCTAACAAGGCCAAAAGCACAGATCACTCTGTACCTGACATAGCCCAAGTGGCCTGGGCTGGTTCGGCTGGCCTCACCACGATGGGGGAGTTAAGAGAGATAGTTGGGGCATGATGGATGCCCATGCATGTTGACGTAGTGTCAGAGAACATGTTTTCTCCAGGATTCACCACATCCTAAAAGCTTTTTTGCCCTCGTTGATCCCAGAGCACCTGCGTTCAGATAGGTGTTGTAAGCACAGAGGAGCTAGGAGCCTGGCCCCAGAGATGCTCCAGGGCTTCTGCTCCACATCAACTGTACACTGCTCTGGCACCACATTCACCTGATGTTGCATTGTTGCAGATTTTTTTTGTTCCATATAATTATGTTATGCCACATCACTCTCCTTGCTTGTCACGTTGCTTTCTCAAGCAAACAGCCCACCTGACATGGCACTGTATGTTTTCAGATTAACTAGATTTTTAATGCTGCAGGCTTTTGTCTTGGCTGCACCCATTTTTAGTTTGTGAACTGTTCTTTCACAAACCTGTATCCTTCAACCCATAAACACACCATACTATACCTGCAGTGGCATGGGGCTCCCTGGGGTTTCTCTGGCCACCCTCATCATCAGACTCCCCAGGAGTTGAGCCTTCTACAACCTGGAAACTCCTGCCCTGTTTTTCCCATATGTGGTGGATCTGCATGGCTGCTTCACGCTCTGCTGCAAGGTCCAGGTCCTGCTGGGCCAGATGGGCCCTCAGCTGCCTAATCTCAAACTAGAGATGGTCGAGTTGTATGTGTGCATGTGGAGAAAGAAAGGAAAAACAGAAGGTTGTGAATGAACAACAAAGATGGAACCTGTTTGTGAGGTGTTGCTGCCCTCCTCTGGTGGGAGACAAGCTGACAGATTCCTAGGTGTAACATGAGCTTGTGTGGCTTTAATCAGACCTGTGTAGTGAGCCATCGACCATGACAGATATCATGGATTTTTCATCAAAGAATGGACTGTTATGACTATAATGCAATGACTGAGAAACTTGTGCTAACATATCACACTGAAACGCTTCACTAGTCATACACAATACAGGCTCACAGTAATTGGTATATGTTGACTAAAGTTGTATCATACTCAGTTTCTGTTTTTTGAGTATTGAGTAGAAGGTGGAATGGTTTTTCTCATCATGTAGTTCACGTAGTAAGTGGGATAAGCTGGCTAGTAGAACATAACAGCAGCCCGGTCCACTTCCCTTGTATGTGTACTGTAGGTCACAAAGGCTCTTGTTCTCAGACCTCGTGCAAAACCAAGTCAAGGTTTTTGGTAGACACGTGTGTTGTGATTGAAGGCCCACTTACTGCCTTTTGAGAAAAAATAATCCCAGGTCTCTTCCTGCATCTTACCAACTAATTTGTAGATGTTTCTGAGAAAATGTAGCCTGGATGTAAAGGTAAATGTAGGGTACTCTGAGAGAACCTATGTATGTATTTACTGAATAACTGTTAAACTGTCTTTTATAATAACTCAAGACTCACTGTAGTGTTTGATGCCAGACCATCCAGTCATGGAAATTGTCCCAGTGTCTGAAGATAGGCTTAACTGTGCATAGTGGAATGTGTTATTCAGAGAAGAGAGAACATTACAGTTTGGTGTAAGAGGAAAAGTTAAGGAAATTCTATTATGTTTCTCATGTGCAAAGTATGTCCCAGGCCTTGAATGATAAATACACTCATTTAAGCCAACAGAGACTGACAGGAATCGTTCCCCCCCCCCCATCAGCTACTCACAGCCTGTTCCTGGCAGATCTGAGTGAGATGCTCCAGCTGCTCCTCTCGCACAGCCTTGGTCTTCTCACACTGCTGGATCTCCAGTTCCATCTCAACTTTGACTTGTAGCACATATGCTATCAAGGTAGAGAGAGACAGAGAAGAGCTCATCAAATCAAGGCCAAAGGTCAGTGTTTGTGGACCATTAGTCCTTTGCGCCGTAGATGTCTGTCGACCTCATTAATTACTGGTAACTTGTAACCGTATACCTGTGCTGAATGAATTCAGCAACATGCTGAAAAAGTTCTACAGAGATCTTTGGTTCATGCAGAAAGTCACAAGGTTTGGGCATATTTTCACCCCTTATTTATACATCTGATTGCACCTTGTCCAAAAAAAATCTCTGCTGGGTTGACATCGGTATAAAACATCTGGATAAACGACTCACAGGGCTCAAAAATCTAGCTTTCATTTTTCTGAAAAAGGTGGGAATCTGTACAAGTTTAATACTTTGGAAAGAAAACTTGTATATAATAGAAACAGTGCTTTAAAAGTTATGTAATCAGAAGCATTTTCAGAGCAGTCCTTGTCATAGGTGAACAAATTTAACGTAACAAGGCCTAAAGTTCTAGTTGGAAAAATGACAACCCAGCAGAGCGTGGACATTAAGGCTCAGCAACATGCTGCATTCAAGTGATGCTACCCTGTGTAATGCTGAATATTGTTCTAGTTATGGTGGTCACATTGGGTGCCTGAGCTTCTTATTGCTGGATGATACAATCTTCACCCTTCACGTAGGTAGGTAGTACTTTTATTGATCCCACAATGGGAGGACGTCAGTGGGTAGTAGTAGTAGTAGTGGCGGTGGTGGCGGTGGTGGCGGCGGCGGCGGCAGTGGTAGTAGTAGTAGTGTGCCTGACATGGCCTCCTTCCTACTACAGTGCTGCCAGCATACTATAACCTACCCTGGATCACTCTTGTGTTTTCGTGTCATCTGTCTCATCAATCTCCCTTCTTTTTTGTTCCACAGAAAACAGCAGCTAATAGGTTTTGATTTCTTTGACTAATTTATGAAACAATTCTCAGTAAAATATGGAAAGAATAATTTGCAGAAATATAAGTTGTTAGAACTGAGGCCTTAAACACTTAACTGACATCTTGATCAATCATTAACTCCACCTCTTGCATTCTGACTGCATGTTTTATTTACATGACACTTTCTGGAGCAGGAGGGGAAGATGTACCTAAAAATGGATACTGTGAGTAATTCTGGATACCTGTTATCACAGTTGGTAGACAGTCTCTCACACCTCTTTGTCATCACATTTGTAAATCAGCCACATGATATCACACATGGTGAAACTGTGTATTCTGATAAGGGAGGGTTGCTAAGATGTGAAATACAAGTAGTCGTATTCTGATATGCTTGTGATGACTGTTCTGAGCTGCTTTGAAAGCTGCCAGTTCACAGCGGAAGAAGCTGAACTACAATTCTCTAGGGAGAATTCTAGTTTGGTTAACTAAAGCTACTTGGAAAAAGTAGTTTAATTGACTTTGTAAATTTGTCCAATTCTTTACAATGTACATATAGAAAAGTCACATGATGGCAGCAAATGCCACTCAATTGAGTTTATTGCAAAAAGTGCCTACCGTAATTTCCGGACTATTGAGCGCACCTGAATATAAGCCGCACCCACTAAATGTAAAACGAAAAACAGTTTGTACATAGCCGCAGGTGTCCACGTTGTAACATGAGATATTTCGACAGCCAGATCAAGCGCCTTTAACTTGAAAGCTGCATCATATGCATTTCATCATGTGTTTTCCATGATGTGTGTGCATGAAGTGAAAATAGCAGCGGCTTATAATCCGGAAATTATGGTACTTGTTCACAGGTCATACATATAAGCCAAGAAACAAAAGTGGGGTGTTTTATTCATGGGGAAGTTCAGGGAATGTCAGCTTTGGTTTTGTATACAGTGTCCATTAGCCAGACACCTGCCTTCTGGAAACTAGATCCAGGTGGGGGTGTTACACTAAGCAGGATTACTTAGTTACTTCTAAAACGGCATGCAGCAACTTCCCTGAACAATAATCAATACTTGACTAATTCACATCTAATATATTCAAGTTTAGTTTTACAAATGCACATTTCAAAACAAAAATTTATATTTTTTTCCACAGGCGAGCTGTAGAAAAGGCTCCATGGGAGAAACCCCGGATCAACAAGCTTCTTCATCACCACAGCAACTAGCTACAAGTGGCACAGGGGAACTCTACAGCCAGATGGAAATTCCCGTACACACCCCGGGCCACGCAGAAACAGTCTCCTCAGTCGAACATGGTAAGCAGAGCCCCTCCAAGAAAGCCTTAACCACAATGTGTGTAGGCCACAGAAAGTGAGCAGACATTTAGACTGGGTAAATAAATTGTTTCATAGATTGTCATACCTGTTTACAAATTGCCAGGAAGGTGACAGTTGCATGGAAATGGAGAGGACTCCCCAGCCAGATGGGTGGGCCTCAGCCCGTGGTGACTAGACCTCAGGAGAGCATGCTCCAACAAATCCTTTAAACAACAGAGTGAGAGAACCAGATCCCAGACAGAAATCCTGGAAAATGTGCTGCCATCCTACACCCCTTGCACTTCAGCCAGGAGCTCCAGTCTTCTGTTCCCTAGTTCGTTTGCTGAGTCATCTAGGTGGATGTCACATCAAGAGTCCACAGCTCATTAGCCGGGGGCGGCGGCGCCGGCAGTGGTAGTAGTAGTAGTGTGCCTGACATGGCCTCCTTCCTGCTACAGTGCTGCCAGCATACTATAACCTACCCTGGATCACTCTTGTGTTTTCGTGTCATCTGTCTCATCAATCTCCCTTCTTTTTTGTTCCACAGAAAACAGCAGCTAATAGGTTTTGATTTCTTTGACTAATTTATGAAACAATTCTCAGTAAAATATGGAAAGAATAATTTGCAGAAATATAAGTTGTTAGAACTGAGGCCTTAAACACTTAACTGACATCTTGATCAATCATTAACTCCACCTCTTGCATTCTGACTGCATGTTTTATTTACATGACACTTTCTGGAGCAGGAGGGGAAGATGTACCTAAAAATGGATACTGTGAGTAATTCTGGATACCTGTTATCACAGTTGGTAGACAGTCTCTCACACCTCTTTGTCATCACATTTGTAAATCAGCCACATGATATCACACATGGTGAAACTGTGTATTCTGATAAGGGAGGGTTGCTAAGATGTGAAATACAAGTAGTCGTATTCTGATATGCTTGTGATGACTGTTCTGAGCTGCTTTGAAAGCTGCCAGTTCACAGCGGAAGAAGCTGAACTACAATTCTCTAGGGAGAATTCTAGTTTGGTTAACTAAAGCTACTTGGAAAAAGTAGTTTAATTGACTTTGTAAATTTGTCCAATTCTTTACAATGTACATATAGAAAAGTCACATGATGGCAGCAAATGCCACTCAATTGAGTTTATTGCAAAAAGTGCCTACCGTAATTTCCGGACTATTGAGCGCACCTGAATATAAGCCGCACCCACTAAATGTAAAACGAAAAACAGTTTGTACATAGCCGCAGGTGTCCACGTTGTAACATGAGATATTTCGACAGCCAGATCAAGCGCCTTTAACTTGAAAGCTGCATCATATGCATTTCATCATGTGTTTTCCATGATGTGTGTGCATGAAGTGAAAATAGCAGCGGCTTATAATCCGGAAATTATGGTACTTGTTCACAGGTCATACATATAAGCCAAGAAACAAAAGTGGGGTGTTTTATTCATGGGGAAGTTCAGGGAATGTCAGCTTTGGTTTTGTATACAGTGTCCATTAGCCAGACACCTGCCTTCTGGAAACTAGATCCAGGTGGGGGTGTTACACTAAGCAGGATTACTTAGTTACTTCTAAAACGGCATGCAGCAACTTCCCTGAACAATAATCAATACTTGACTAATTCACATCTAATATATTCAAGTTTAGTTTTACAAATGCACATTTCAAAACAAAAATTTATATTTTTTTCCACAGGCGAGCTGTAGAAAAGGCTCCATGGGAGAAACCCCGGATCAACAAGCTTCTTCGTCACCACAGCAACTAGCTACAAGTGGCACAGGGGAACTCTACAGCCAGATGGAAATTCCCGTACACACCCCGGGCCACGCAGAAACAGTCTCCTCAGTCGAACATGGTAAGCAGAGCCCCTCCAAGAAAGCCTTAACCACAATGTGTGTAGGCCACAGAAAGTGAGCAGACATTTAGACTGGGTAAATAAATTGTTTCATAGATTGTCATACCTGTTTACAAATTGCCAGGAAGGTGACAGTTGCATGGAAATGGAGAGGACTCCCCAGCCAGATGGGTGGGCCTCAGCCCGTGGTGACTAGACCTCAGGAGAGCATGCTCCAACAAATCCTTTAAACAACAGAGTGAGAGAACCAGATCCCAGACAGAAATCCTGGAAAATGTGCTGCCATCCTACACCCCTTGTACTTCAGCCAGGAGCTCCAGTCTTCTGTTCCCTAGTTCGTTTGCTGAGTCATCTAGGTGGATGTCACATCAAGAGTCCACAGCTCATTAGCCAGCTAGTTTTCTGGAGCCCCCCAACCTGCACCACACACCCAGTGGAAGACAAAGCACATCAAGGCTTAGATGCCTCCCCACAGGTGGAAGAGTCCTCTGGCCATGTCCACCTTGCCTTCATCCTTTCTAGATCCAGGGTTACCCCCAAGAGGCTGCTGTCTGTACCACTTCTAGAGCTCATCACAGTAGTGACCAGTGCACAACTCATTGCCCTGATCCAGAAAGAGATGATGCTCAAAATCCCAGATACAGACCAACTCACCTCCCATACTTGAGTAGATCCAGTCTGAATGCTGCAGGTATAAAGTCTTCACTGGAACAAGGATAGGAGATTATACCAGAGCACACAGTGTCAAGTCCTGGAGATATGTCAGCTTTGCCTCCAACCCAGTGGATAACATCACCACAGGCATGACATTGGTATCTATCAATAACTGAAGCAGATACCATCAAGTCCTTCCTTTCTCTTGCAGGCTTATTAGCTGGATTGCTTTGCAAAAAAAATTTCACACTACTCCAGAATGGGAAGCCAGTACAACCCACCAGTCGCCTAGTCACCCTCGATTTACACCATGACAGGCCTAATCCCTGTGGGAGGGAGATTGCTGAGGGTGTTTGCTGAGATAAGATGCTAGTACCGGGTCCTATGAGGGTAGAAAGCTGTCACTCCAACCATTCCCAAGATGGCCAGTCTCCCACAAGTGAGCATCTGCCTTATGAAGCCAACCTTCTATTCCACAGAGGCCAATTGTTTTGGCCCATTCCTGGTTAAGCGAAGCTGAGGTACAGACAAAAGAAGGGTCATCATTTTCAAGTGCCTCACCGCAGGATGTGTGCATCTAGACATCTTATGTTATTCATGGCCCTCGGCAAACTCACCGCCCAAAGACCTTATGTGTGAGACCTTAAAGCAGCAGTTAGCCAAGCATTGCATCCATTTCGGATTCAGTCCCCCCAATGCCTCACACTGTGGAGGAGCCTTGGGAGTGGGAGATCAAGACGGTCAAGGTAGCTCTTTGTTAACAAAGGGACTCAGACAGTGACCGAAGAAGTCCTAAGGATGGTCATAGTGGAAGTACACTCACCAGCCACTTTATTAGGTACACCAGTACAATTGTATGCACTTCAATCCAAGACTTCCACCATAACATCTGTTTTATGAAGCTAAAAATTTTTCCAACTTAGGTGAAATTGTGATATGTATAAATTAAATGATATGTTTATTATTGAGCTCATAGTTAAAGGTGGTGTTGTACTGGACTACATTATAGTCAGTGGTGTTCTAATACTCTGACCCTCTCATGTATGTAGCTGGGGAGGACAAAAACATAGACACCTCTGAATGTAAGGTAGTCCAGTACAACACCACTTTTAACTATGACTTCAGTAATAAACATATCGATGAATATATACATATGTATGACAATTTCACTAAAAACAAACATTTTAAGCTTCATTAACACAGATGTTGAGGAAGTGTTGCACTGAATTGCATACAATTGTATCAGTGCACCTAATAAAGTGGCTGGTGAGCACAGAGAGTGTGCTTTAACTCCAAGCCCTTGGGCTATATATCCACTGACTTTGCACGCATAGACCCAGTAACACCCGATTACCTGCTCATGAAGCAGCCAGACTGACTCCCCTAGTCTAGAGTCTGAGCACCCTTAGCCAGCAACACTGGCTTCAAACCCAGGTCCTAGAAGATCAATTCTGATCTTATTTCCTACGACTACCTACCGTCATTGCAAGCCAGGCAGACGTAGCACTGAGAGAGTGGTAACCTTGAAGTGGGTGCAGTGGTGATGGTTGTAGATCAGAGGCTCCCTTGAGCACTGTGGTCTGTAAGACTTGTACTTAATCAGGTGCCAGGCTCATCAAACTCCCTGCCATACCAGATGATGACCCACTTGAGTCCACCAAATCACTAAGCCTTTTCTTAAAAGCTAATTCACACAGTAAGTTAGGGGGCAGCTGTAGACGGATTACAGAGAACATAGGTATGTTAGTTTGGAATTAACTCTTGTCAAGAAATAACAGTGTAACATGCTAAACTTATGCTAGTTACCAAGATTTAGTTGTGATATTGTGCATCACATGCTTATAAGAAGATGGCCTGTACACAGTGTATTTAATTTGTCTTAATAGTCGTTTGTTTGTTCTGTTATAAACTACACATTACTAAACCCAAAGCCTGTGTCCATGTACCTGTTGTACCTCATTGTTGTAACCATTTACAGTGGGGCAAATAAGTATGTGATACACTTACACAGTATGGACATATCTGTAATTTTCATCGTAGGTACACCTCAACTGTGAGACAGAATCTACAAAAAAATTCCAGTAAATCACATTGTTAGATTTTTAAATAATTTATTTCCCTTTTATTGCATGAAACAAGCATTTGATCACCTACCAACCAGCAAGAATTCTGGCAATCACAGACTAGTTTGTCTTTAAGAAGCCCTCCTATCCTCCACAAATTGCACCTGTTTGAACTTGTTACCTGTATAAAAGACACCTGTCCACACACTCAATCTATCAGACTCCAACTTCTCCACTATGGGCAAGACCAAAGAGCTGTCTAAGGACACTAGAGACAAAATTGTAGACCTACACAAGGCTGGGATGGGCTACAGGACAATAGGCAAACAGCTTGGTGAGAAGGCAACAACTGTTGGTGCAATTATTAGAAAATGGAAGAAATTCAAGATGACAATCTCCCTCGGACTGGCGTTCCATGCAAGATCTCGCCTCATGGAGTATCAGTGATCCTGAGAAAGGTGAGGGATCAGCCTAGAACTACATGGGAGGACCTGGTTAATGACCTGAAGAGAGCTGGGACCACAATCTCAGTGGTTACCATTAGTAACACACTACATCATGGCTTAAAATCCTGCAGCGCACGCAAAGTCCCTCTGCTCAAGCCAGCACATGTCCAGGCCCATCTGAAGTTTGCCAAAGACCATCTGGATGATCCAGAGGAGGCATGGGAGAAGGTCATGTGGTCAGATGAGACCAAAATAGAACT